TAGCCACATACTGGCCCAACTATTGCTACAAGTATTTTAAATACTTTACATGCTTATGGAATTGACAATAAATTATAGTTTCGATAATGCTAGTAATATTGATTCAACAATAAATATTTTAAAATTTTCAATTAAAACCATGTTTAAATGGTAAATTATTTCATATTAGATGTGCATGTCACATCTTAAATTTATGTATTTAGGATGCTTTAAATATTATTTCTACTCGTATTTCTAAAATTAGAAATTGTATTATATATTAAAAGTTCTAGAGCAAGAAAACAAGAATTTAAATATTTATGTCAAAATTATGATATAAAATATAAATATTTTATATTAAATGTTAAACATAGATGGAATTCTACCTATGCTATGTTAAAAAGTTATATTTCTCACAGAAAAATTCTTAGTGATTTTTATAATACAAAATGCCTAATAGTATTATATTTGAGGAAGACTGGGAAATGGCAATTTGTATAAGAGATTTTTTTAAATATTTTTATAAAGAAACTAATGAATAATTAGGTATCTATTATCCAACTAGTTGTAATTTAGCTTATCAATTAATGATGATTAGTGATTGTTTTACAAAATATAGAAATAATCCACAATTTAAAGTATTGTTCAAATAATAAAAAATAAATTTAAAAAAAAATATTGGGATAACATTTCTCCTCTCTATTGCTTTGGTTGTGTTTGGTTGCAATGCAAATAAATTTGCACTAATGCAAAACCATGGCAGTGCAAATGATTTGAGTGTAAATTCTGACCTATTTTTGTTTCAAATTTTAACTCATTTTGTTTGATTGCAGTACAAATGGAGTAAATTAAGACATGAAGTAGAATAAAGTAAAACCCAAAACAAAATTAAATAAGAATATCATTTTTTTACATTTTGCACTCCCATGCATTTGTACTCGTGCAAATAAATTTGCACTGCAACCAAACACACCCTTAGCTACAATATTAGATTGTAGAATTAAGAAAGATGGTTTAGATATTTTACTTGAAACATATTGCGAAAATATAAATATTGAAATTGGAAATAAAAAAGAAGAAATTAATAGTTTATTATTTGAAATGTATAATTTATATGAATATGAAGTAACAAGGAATAATAAAAATTTTACAACTTGTACAGTTGCATCTTCCACTTTTGAACTTGAATCCAGTAGTGGAAGAGAAAAACGTTTTTATTTATTAAGCAAGGCAAAAATCCACTGCCTTGACAATAAGTTCATTTATTGAATTTAATTTTTATTTACAAGCAATTCTTTTCTAGTTTAGATGATTCTTCCTTCACTTCAGAGGGAACAAATAATTTTGATATTTTAGCCTAGTGGAGTGAACATGTAAAAAATTATCGAGTTCTTGCCGTTATGGCACATGATCTACTAACCCCTCTGGTGTCTACAGTTCCATCAAAATCTTGTTTTAGTGTAGGTAGTAGGGTGTTGGATGACAACAGAAGCTATATAAATGTCAAAAGTCTAGAGATGTGCATGTGCTTTAAAAGTTGGTTGGATGTTGAACATAGATTACAAGACAAAGGAGGGCATGACACTACTCTTAATGTTTCACCTGAAGCAGATGATCAAAATCAAGAACAATAGGAGAAAATGACGGAATCAATATTTTTTGTATACTCAATAGTTGTATAGCATTTTTCAAATTATTGTAAATTTTGTTTTAACTTTATTTAATTTATTTGATGTTTTTTAAAAACGTAATTTTTTATTTTCAATTTGTAACTATATTGTATTTTTATATTTTATTAATTTATTCCATTTTCCGATTTTCATATTTCATTCATCCAACCATTGTATGCTTTGTATCATTCAAATTTAAATGAAATAAAATTCCTATTTTTCTTCCAATTTGTTATTCAAATTTGAAAGAGTCTTTGTCTCTTTAACTTCTTATTTGGTTAAGTATTTTTTTTTTCATTTCTTTGTTAGATTTCTTATTTTTTTTAAATAGTTCCCAAAGGAAAGTTAAACATTTTAGCTTTACTTAGCAAAGAAAAACAATAAAAAATGTTAAAGAAACAAAAAAAAACAAGTCTAGCCCAGTTCGGTCCATGCCCAAGACTCGGCTTGTGACCCAGCCTAGGCCTACAGCATGGCCCAGGCCCGCGGCACGGCATGGAACAGGCCCACATGGCTTGGGTCATGGGCCGTGTCAGGCTGACTCCAAATTATCCATGGGGAGGGCAGCATGATCCAAGACGGCCCGCACTTTGAGCGGGCCCCGACACAATCCGTTTTACACCTTTAACTAGGATAGATATGGTGATAAGGATGAATCAGCTTGAGAATTGGTAAAGCCTCAAGTAAAAAAGAATTGAGCTTCGAATACCATGCATGAGGGGCCTATTTGAGCTCGTAAAGCGACTTGTGTAATTTGTAGACATGTATTGGATAGATGGAGTCACAAACGCAAGAGGTTGATGCATATAGGCATCTTCCTTCAGCTCCCGATTGAGAAAGACATTTTGTATGTCAATCTCATATATGGGCCAATGAAGAGAAATAGCAATGCTCAATATAATTCGAATAGTAGTAGGCTTAATGATAGGACTGAACGTCTTAGAGAAATCACTATTGGGTTTCCATTTCAAATGAAAAACCCACCTGCACCCAACGATATTAGCACCGGGAGGTGGAGGATGTACATCCCATTACGTAAGAGTGCATTGTATTTAGAAGCCATGGCTTCACACCATCTGATGTGTTTGGTCACTTGAGAGAAGCAAGTGGCCTCAACATGTGTATAATCCAATGGGGTTGTTGAAGCAAGTGGCCTCAACATGTTAGATAAGCACACTAAGTACCTAATAGCTGTGTGACAACTGTTCAGTTAATTCGCCTTTATTATTTTATTATTTGTGTCAAAATAATTAAAAATAAAAAAAAATCATAAAAAAGGAAAACCTAAACGTATTGGAAGTTGGAAGTACTTGGAACTCATTGGATTCTCGATCCCCAACCTTCTGTCATTTAAGTTTCAATTATAAAAGAAAAACCTTCTGATGGTTTTTAATTTTTTTTTTATTTTTTTGTCAGAACGGGTCGACCATTTGGTTTGACCCAGTAATCAGACCCTTGACCGGTTCGGTCTCTAGGTCAGTTTTAGAAACCATGATGTCATGTCATTCGACCATGTGACTCATACAACCCGAAAATGGAACTGTTTTTGCCACTGGTTTTTGGATCGATGGTTCAACCGTCCGATTCGAACGGATGGCCTGTTCTGACAACAAAAATTTAAAAAAAAATGGCTAAAAACCATTGAATGGGTCAATGGGTTGACAGTTCGACCACTCGAGTCAATGGGTCGTTGACTGATTCAACAATTTTTTACTAGGGACCGGGATTGGGGTAAAATGGAACTGGTTGCTTGGACGGTTTCCAATTAAAAAAAAAAACAGACAACCCATTCTGACAACAAAAATTATAGACAAAAAATTAAGTGTGTGAGGTCCATTAAACAGTACCATATGTGTTATGTCATTCAAGTGTATGACTCATACGACCTAAAAACGGAATTGTTCTGGCCACTGGTTTTTGGGTCAACGGTTCGATTGTTTGGTTCGAACAAATGGCCCATTCTGACAACAAAATTTAAAAAAAATAAAAAAAAACGACCAAAAACCATTGAATGGGTCAATTGTTCAACCACTCGGGTTAATGGGTCGTTGACCGATTCAATGGTTTTTGGCCAAAGACCGAGATTAGGATAAAATGGAATCGCTTGCCCGGATGGTTCCCAATTAAAAAAATAAAAAACGGCCAAAAACCATTGAACGGGTCAACGGGTTGATGGTTCGACCGCTCGAATCAATGAATTGTTGACCGATTCAACGGTTTTTTGCCAAAGATTGGATCAACGGGTTGATGGTTCCATTCCAGCCCCTGCGAAACAAGGCCTTTGCTAGTTTATAAGTATTACTACTAAAGCTCACCATGTGCAGGAATCTTTATTTTTTAAAATTTTATAATTTATACACTGAATCAAAGCTATCTATTATAAACAAAATAACAATAGAACAAAAATTAGTTTCGGAATTTCTGAAGATAATAAAGAATGAAAAAAGATTGTAATTAATAGAATTAAATGCGATATTTATTTTTAAGGGTCCTTGAAATATCACGATGCAAATAATTGAGTCCACTCCACCCAACCAAGTTGAATGCCTGCCCCAATCAACTAGTTGCTGAAGGTCTAGAGGTGGGAGAACCCTAAACGGAAGAAGGGTGGAGAGAGAGGCGCATGGACAGGTTTTCCTTTTTCATAATTTGTTTTTTAATTATTTTGACACAAATAATAAGTTGTCACACAGCTATTAGGTGCTTTCGACTTAGTTCTTACATATATAATGAATGACTTGAACAGTTGAACTTCATCAACAGAATTTTTGCAAGGTTAGAAATGGTGAATGGTGAATCGTTTGAATAGAGACAACATTTTTGAGCTATCTTCGTGCATAGACAACACCTTTACAGCTGCCCCAAACCCATGAACAGCTAGGCCTGACCCTTGAAATGTAAAATGACCATTGAAGTTTATTTCAAGCTGCATACACTGACATGAGATCACCAAATATTTCAAGAAAAAGAGTGCAGAAAAGTTATCTCAGTGTAGGATTTTGTTGTTTAGTTTAGCATATGCAATTTCAAGTTTCAACAAATTAAGGCGAATTTTTATTTTGATTTTCAATTCAAAACTGAAAGGATGAAGATGGTACCTACATGACAAGTTCTGTAATAGCACAAAGTTGGGAAAATTTTGAATGACAACAACCATGATCAATTATTTTCATACAAGATTTCACGAAAATATTTCTTATTGGATGGCTTCATCTTTTGCTAGCGGTGCTTTCCATGGTTGAGAAGAAACAGTACATCAAATCCCGAGGTTCCATTTTGGAAAATCTTCAGGATTAATTCATTCTTTTAAAGCCAAAAAGCAAAATTTATCTAAATTAAATAGAAAATAACTTATCCAATGCCAATTATATTAAACTTTCTATTAATAACTAACTTATACTTCTCTTGTAAAATAGGATTCATGTTGTCTTGACTCTTCAGACGAAGTATCACCACTCCTGGAAGCTCTACACCCTGATCCTCTATTTTTTTTTTTTTTTTTTGAGGTGAAATTAATATAATAGCATTCATTCCTCATGTAGATTGAGTTGAACACTTCTGTAAACATATGTGAGATCGATAAGGTTGCATTCAGCACTACTGCTAAGATTGATTATTCTTAAAACCATGCGACAAATGTATCAACCGCTCTTAAAGGTGATGAAGGTACGAGGCTGAGGTCTTGTATCTCTTAAACCTTCGTCTTTCTTCAACACCATGAGAGGCTAGAATTTTCTTGCTCAAATGAGTATTCCAAATAAACGTTTACAGGTTGTCCGGTGTAACTTGAGAATTGGTCGTTTTTCCCTGCAAATAACATCATAATCATATAAATATTCCTGATACTTTGTTCAACATATATACACACATGAATTGAAAAATATATAGACAAATTTGGGAGAAAAAAAATATAAGCATTTTCATCTATGAATGCACATAAAAAATATAGAAAAAAAAAAAAAGATCTTCCTTCATTCCTTGGTTTACATATATAATTTACATATTTTCTGCCAAGCCCAGATGTATTATATATGCTCGTGGAAAAGATTACCTGAATTTGATAATGAAAATGCTTTGCTCTTCTCGTCGTCGTCGTCGTCCTCCTCCTCCTCCGGCCTCTTCTTTCTCCGGAACTAAAGCCGGCACCTGTGTGATGATAGTAATACAAGGTTGAAGGAATGGGCGTTTCTATGTCCATGTGGCTTTGAGCACTTGTTGATGTTGTTGTTGAAGCCCTCATCCTGTATTTATAAGTGTTTTCGAGGAATTCCCTGCAGCACAAAACTCTACACACCTTTCAGAGGATGGACATCCAGCCGCACACCGGGAGGATCTCTTAGAGAGATGTTCTCAATATGCGACTAGATGCTATGTGTACAGAGTTAGTAACTATGAAGTATCACTACAGTACAGTTAGCAACAGGGAAAACATTTCCCTGTGACTTGTCACATGCCAACCCCCTAAGCTCCCACCCACCGGCCCAAATATGAAATGTAAATATACCATCGTTTGAAAAAAAAAAAAAAAAAAGAGTTGATGTGATGCGTGTTTTCCCATTTTTATTGAGGGGTGTCTGATTCTCTGCCTCTCAGAAATGTAATGCCCCTCTCATAGTCACTGGCCACCATGTATGCATGGATCCATCACTCTCTACCCTGCTTTAGGACTTTGTACTGAAGCATCTAGGATGTACCACGCGTCCTTCAAAAGGTGCTGTTGATCACATTGAATTGTCCATTCCATTAACTTTACGTGTACCAGATCCAGGGTGTTCATTGTCCTGGGCCGCTTTTGAGTTTTATTCGGTCTACCCCATGTTCCCCCGTAGATCGGATTCAGTCCTCACAATCATGATTTTCAAAATCGGATCGGACTGGATGGTTGGACCGGAAAAATAAAAAATCAGTCATCTGATCGGTTTCATTTTACCTTAAAACCGTTTTTTGGCTAAAAAGTGTTGATTTGATCAACAAACTATTGAACCATCGATCTGGATAATATTTTTTTTGTCGTTTTTATATACTTTTTCTTTTTTTATTATTTTAAGCCAGAATAGGTCATCTGATTGAACCATACAGTCGGACCGTTCGACTCAAAAACCAGTCCAATTGTGATTTAGCTCCGCGGGCCGGTGTCGGTTCAACTCATCTGGCCCAAGTTCACATATTATACCGATGTGGCAGTGAGGGTGTGTACAGTGGCAGTAACCCAATTATAGAGCAATTAGTCACTCTCGTAGTACGTGTTGTTTCTCTGTTAGTGGTCTCCTATTCCGAGGCTACTGTGCTGCCACGTGAAGAAGGAATAGATGAACAATCAAAAGTGGGTTTGAGAGTTTGAGTGGTGTTCTGACTTGTGAGTGCCACACCACTTGGCCCACCCCAACATCAACAATTAATTGGACAGAGATCGTTTTGTTGGTACTGTATTTCACCTGAACCACCCTCCACTTGCCATTACTCTGCAGTTTCAACTTTTAACCTCAAAGTTAAAGCTGAGAGGGTGTTGAGAGTTGACACTTGAGGGAGGGTGCCTGGTTCCATCTTCCATGCAAGCTCAGCTCCTGATTATCAGTCGAACCAGAAAGAAATTTGGTTTGTGGAACTAGGAAAGGACCTTCCTGGCTTCCCATATTCATATATACCTTTCTCAAGCACAAAGTTTAGATAAGAATCAACTTTGTTCCCACTTCTATTTTGGATACGCTGTTCAAAACTTGTCAAGTAAATAAGGAACCGGGTCAATTCATCTCTTGCTAGATCAATCGGTATCTAGTGGAAAGGAAGGCCCTTAACTCGATCGTTGACTCACCAATTCGACCAATTTACTCTGAAAACTCAGCCAAGCTTCATGCGGATCGACCATAAAATAGAATGTATCTTGTTATTTTTTAGGTTTCTTATGCTGTTATAATCCGGCCCCTACGTTTCGCTATTCAGTTACTTGGCGTATTGATTCACATTTATGAATTAAGGTCGGTGTCATGATGCATGGTGAGAAATCAGCTATGTGAACAGTACAAGTTGATGAATGTAATTTAAACAATCATTTTTTTTTCGCAGCCTCGCTCTTTTTGTGTATAGGAATTAGGAATTAGCATTTAGCAATGTTTTAAAAATTGATCTGTAACCTGAACTGCTTTGGCCACCTGCTTTTCGGTCAGTGGTTGATTCGAATGGACAGTCCATTTTAATTTAAAAAATAAAAAATAATTAAAATAAAAAATGGTTTAAAAACTATTGTTCAAGTTGAACGGACTGATAATTCGACTGCCCGAGTCAATAAATCGCTGATCGTGTTAATGGTTTTTTATTATAAAACATAACTGATTGCTTAGACAATTTTCAGGTCAAATGGTTCAATAGTCTGAATCAATGATAGATTCGAAAACACTGAGAATTAGAAAACTGTTTTGCAAAATTAGAGATTCTCTGGTTACTAGTGTTCAATTAACAAGGGATAAGTTATTTACAATATTTTTTTAATTAAGATGGGTTTTAGCTGACAAAAGCAACTGCACAATGTCACATAACACTGGTGTGTGACTTAAACCATGTGATTTCAGCTACACTGCTTTCAAACTTTTCCACATGCAATTTAATAACTTGAAATTTTTTTTTATAGCAAAAGATGAGCTACACAAACCTGGGGGTAGCTCTTCCCCTTACATCCGAATCACAAGTGAAAAGAAAATCACTAACACTGAATTCCCTATCACCCCCTGTCGTTAAGAGTTTTACGAGCTAACCAATTTGCCGCTTGACTTGCTTCCCAATACGCATGCTTGAATTTTATATTTAAGTTGAAGAAATCCACTAGGTTCCGGCATTCTTTGATGACACTTTTCAATCTCTACGGAGATGCAAGTTTACCATTGAGGCAATCGATTACTAACTTAGAGTCACCTTCTATGACGATTTTCTGATCCCTATAGTTGATAGCCATATTAATGGCTTCCCAAGCTTCTGCAAGATTGATAGTCGAAATTCCAATTCCAATAGCTTTAGACTCCAAGACTTTGTCTTGATGGTTCCTAGCTATACAACCAATTGCACATTTGCCACCATTCGAGCAAGAGGCATCAAAGTTAATCTTGATGCAGTTGTGTTTGGGCCTAAACCACTCAACATGGGTTAACATTTTTTTGTTATTGTTAATCAAACAAGAGGATACCTCTTTAATCTCATTCCAGTAGGCCAAGGCTCTATTACTGATGGTCTCCGCATCACCATTCGAGCAAGAAAATATTTACTGTTTCTATTCTTCCAAATGAACCAAGAGATACAAGCAAATTTTTCTCTAATGAAGCTATCTTTGAAGATACCAATAGGTTTGCATAAATTATTCCACCACCTGTCCATCGAGGTAGATGAGCCCATAGGAATCGGCAGTTCCCCTAAAAGGCAACTCCAGACTTACTTAGCCACACTACAATTAATAAAAAGGTGGTCGATATTTTCAACTTCCCCGCAAAAGACACATGCGAGATCCAATTCAAAACCCCTAGAAATGAGGTTGTTTTTTGTAAGAAGTCTATTATTAAGTAAAAAGAATAGGAAAATTTTAAATTTTGGTGGAAGCATGAGTTTCCAAAAATTTTTTTGAAAGTCAAAAATAGGATCCTCACCACCATTAAATCAACACTCCTCCTCATAGGCCGATTTAACAAAGAAGTTCCCATCCAGGGTGAACTTCCAAACTCTTTTATCTTCAAAATCCTCATGGGGAATAAGGATAAGTTTTATCAATTGCCAAACCTGTTGGTTGGCAAGCAACAAAATACTATCCTCATTCCAAATTCTTCTTTCAAAATCGATTATCCTATAAACCGTCATATCCACATAAGTAGAAATATTGTCCCTCAATTCTATTAATGGGCCTTCTCCAGCCCATGAATCCAACAAAAAATTCACACTCCTACCATTGTCAATCATCTACATAGAGCCCCTTTTAATAAGATCTCTTGAACCCATAATACCCTTCCAGGCCCAAGACCAACTTTTCTTCTTATTTGCATCCCATAAACTATTGTTTCTAAGATATTTATCATTTACAACCTTGACCCAAAGATTATCATGACAATTTAAAATTTTCCACCCTAGTTTTGCAAGAAGAGCCTTATTAATCCATTTGAAGTTCTTCACACCTAGTCCATCCCACATTTTGGGAGTACAAACCCTATTCCACTTAACAAGATGAATGGGGTTTCGGCAACTCTCTTTTGCCCAAAGGAAATCCTTTCTATTTTTATCTAAACCAGCAACAACACTATTTGGGATTTTAAACGATTGCATAACAAATTGTGGAATCATGGATGCAGAGGAATTAATTAACATTAACCTCCCACCAAGAGATAGAGAATGTTTTTTCCAACCTGCAAGTTAATTAGACAGTCTCTCATTCAAATATTTAAAAGTATCCTTTGATACTCTACCCTCAATGATAGGGGCTCCAAGATAAATTCTTATTTTTTGAGTCTAAAGGGGACGTTATTGGAGAGCGTAATGGCCGATTTAAGATAATTAGGAAGCTGGCCCGAAGCTTTAGCAAAGCTATCCAAAATCTCCTTAATTTTGAGGCAAGCATTGATTGAGGCCTTTGCAAAAATAATGCAATCATCTGCAAACTGAATAATTGGAATTGTCAAACCTCCCCTAGAGGCTTTACAGCCCATCCCATTTGCACCACATTCAGCCTCCATATTAAGATTACTTGAAAGAGCTTCAGCACAAAGGACAAATATGTAGAGGGACAAGGGGTCACCTTGCCGAATCCCCCTACTGGCTTTGATGACTCGGGTGGGTGAGCCATTAATGAGAATCTGAAAGGAAAACGAAACTAATGCATTCCATGACCCAATTAATCCATTTGTCCAAGAAACCAAATTTAACAAGCACTTTTCTAATAAAATCTCATTCCAACCTATCATAAGCCTTCTCCATGTCAATCTTGCAGGCAAGCATCCCCACTTTGCCTTTTTTCTTTTTATTAGTGTGCATCATCTCATTGGCAATGAGAATGTTGTCTGTGATTTGTCTATTGGGTATGAAAGCACTCTAAAAGGGGGAAATAATGTCATCTAGGAACGGTTTGATTATATTCACAATGACTTTAGAAATTATCTTATAGATGACATTGCAAAGGCTGATAGGCTTGAAATCATTGACCCCCTTTGGGTTTTCCCGCTTTGGGATAAGAGTAATAAAAGTCCTGTTTAGATCACCATTCAACTTCCCAGAATGAAAAAAGGCTTTGACAATTTTACATACAGCATCCCCAACAATATTCCAGTACTTTTTGAAGAAAAAAACATTAAGACCATCAGGACCCAAGGCCTTCATATCCTTCGTCGAAAGCAAAGTATTATGAATCTCTTCGTTTGTGACATCTTTATAGAGATTATTATTAAGAGTTTGAGAGGCACAACAGTCTATATTTGAAATGAAATTGTCCACTTCCGAAGTGCCCTTAGAATTAAATCTATTTTCAAAACTGCAACAAAGCATCTCCTTGATCCCCTCAGCATCTTCAATCCAAGATCCATCCTCATTTCTAACTTTTTCTAATTTTGTTCTTATTTCTCCTAATTGTTGTAGTAGTGTGAAAGAATTTATTATTTTTATCCCCAAGTTTAATCCAATCAACTCGGGAATTTTGAGCCCAATAAATTTCTTCCTTAGCAAGAGTGTTGTTAAGAAGTTTATGAAGAGTTTTCTCTTGATTGATGAGACTTATGTTATTTGGATCCCTTTCTAAGTTGTCTTGGATCATCTGAATTTTTAACAATAACTCTTCTTTTCTTTTTCTAATATTCCCAAAATGATTTTTATTCCAATATTTGAATTCTCTAACAAGGTTATTTCTCTTTTTACAAAACTGCATGACTCTAGAACCATTAACGTTGATATCCCAAACCCTTTGGATCACATTATCAAGACTAGAATCTAAGCACCACATGGTTTCAAATCTAAAAGGTCTAAGAGAAGCATGAGAATTAATATTAAGTATCAAAGGAATATAGCTAACAAATCTGCCTTTTTTGGCGTCAGACCATAACTTGAAAAACTTTAAATCAACTTGAAAACCCACGTGAATTTGAATGAATATCGATTGATTGCTTAACAATTGAATGATATTGTTATCAGTTTCTTAGGTAGTATACCTTCAACTCTATAGATAATAACCTTAAATTAACCATCCAAACTTCCAGTTCTTTAATTTAAAAATACCTATAAAAAAAAACCTTAGCATTATTATTTGAATTTTGAAACATCCCTCCAATCTTCTGATATCTCCTCAATCAAACTTAGCCTGACTAGCTTTTCAATACATCCAAAGAATCCCTAAAACACCCCTCCACTTTTCTGATATCCCTTTAGCTGAGTCGTAATGTTTCTATTTTTCCTGTTTCCTAGTGTTTCTTTGTTTTATTTTCTTATCTCTTTTTCTTTGTTAGCTGGTTCTGGCTTGTTTTTCAAGTTGTTTCGTCTCCAGTCTAGTGGTTTTGTTGTCTTATGAGTTATGTCCTTGTCCTTTGTTGCTGTTTAAACTCTGGTTTAATGAATCTGTTGGCCTTTCTACCAAAAAAAAATATCATTAAAAAACAAACAGTATTTGCAAGGTTACAATGACGCCCCTCCATCAACCCCATTCTTAGAAATAGCAATGAGGCGGGGTAGGGCCAGATTTTGCATTTCTTGTCTCTTACCCCAAACTCAAATACCCTGTATCTTAACGGAACAAGAAATCCCAATCCTATCCCTCTTCTCACAAAGAGGAAACGGGGAACCCTAAATTTGCCTCACCCCGCCCAGATCATCCTATTTGCAAATATATTTTTCTATTTTTTTAAATTGTTTAGAATTATATTATATTATATTATATAATGTAATATAATATAACATAACATAATATATATATATAAAGACACCTACACACTTTTAATTGGGACTGAATAGACGTATACCATTCCTACCTTATCCCCAGTCTTCAGAATTTTGGGTTTCCCAAAAACCCATCCCAAACTCGATCATTGTCAATAAAACCCACCCCAACCTTGGCAGGGTGGAACTCCATAATAAGACAGGTCAAATTGCATCTCTAACCATTCTTTGAACCGAACTTTTCATAGACCCATCTACTCCCTCAAATTGAACTGTTGACCAACAAATCAGACTATTGGCATGTTCGCTCGTGATTGGTCATATAGCTAGATCCCCATACCCTTACTCATTTTTAACATATAAACAATTGGTTTGGTAGGAAAGAATAGTCAGTGAAGAGGACTCAAGGTTAGTTTTGTCACTTAAAAATAAAAATGACACCGTGTGGACCACTTCTATTATGGTCAATGATGTTAACTTGATGGAAGGTAATGTATATTACAAATCAAAGTGTTTGACAGGGCACTTGGAAAGCCGTGAAGCTGTGGTTGGTGAAAACCCCAAAAAACTAAAAATAAACTTACAGGAACTGCAAAATCAACTTTATGGTGAAACTTCTCAGAAGCAGTTCAGTCGATGCAATTAATCAAACACTGGAATCCTTCCAAACGAGCTCTTAGATAAAAATCTAAGAAACTTGTCCCAGAAATGTCACAACGCCCTTTAGGCCTGGTTTGTTTGAAGTGTAATTTTATTTACACCGATGCAAAAATATGGGAATGCAAATGATCGGTGTACAAAAAGTGACTTATTTTTGCAGTGCCTGAAAAAAAAAAAAACCTGCCTCAAAACCCAATACCACCCAAACTTGTTCATACATCCACCTCGAATTCCAAGTCGATGGGTTTGGTACCAACTTCCAATGGGCCTGACGGGCCTGACCCATATGACCCATAAAGCAGTCTGGGCCCTATAACCTGCCAAGTGTCCCATTATTAGAGGAGTTTTTTTGGTGGTAGAACCCATATTAGAGGATCAGTATTCAGGATTCAGTAGTCGACCATAATTCAGGACTCAGGAGTCGACCACGAGTTGCAGTTTGAAATTCCAAAGCTTTAAAACCCGATCCAAGGCCGACCCTTTTTCTGCCTCCGGCCACTGGTTCTACCATCTGGGTCAGTTAGATTGTATGGCATCAGCATATGTAATACAAACGTGCATCAGTACACGTGGCAAGTTTTTGAAAATCCCATTCGGTAACTGCAACTGTATTAGTTTGCCATGTATATGCAAACATGTACTCTGTATAAATATTCTTTTTCTGGTTCATAAATGTAAAGTATAACTCATTTTTTGTATTCTTTCTGTTCGTTTGAAATGCATGCAAAGCATGGCCCCATTGTTAAATGTCTTAATTTTTTTGTCAAATACACCATTTATCGGAAGAGTACACATTTGTATCCAAAAAAGGGATACAGTAATGTGCTCTTCTGAGATGTCAAAACAAAATCATTTTTGACTACTTAATCATTACATTTTTGCATTTATTTAAAAGGCTTAAGCCTTGAAGTGTAAGGTGTACAGCTTGAGGTAAGGTGCACAGATTTTGCCTCAAGGTTTTAAGCCCTTGTTAGAATGAGGCATAAGCCTCAAGCCTCAAGGGGTGAAGTGCAGCCTAACGCATAAAAAGGCATAAGCCTCAAATGTCAATGATTAATTAGTGATTTAATGCAATATATATATATATATATATATATATATATATATATATATATAT